ACAGTTACTAGGATTCCATGCCAGGCCGTCTGACTCAAACGCTCCCAGCTCGGCAACACACACTCCTTATGGTCAATGACAACGATGTCCAGGGAGCGTGCTCCGTGCAGCTAGGCACCCGGGAGCAGGGCTACCCCCAGGGTAGAGAAGTTACACCAGGCATTATTTTCTTTTCAAAGAGTATTGCTGGCTTAACAAGTGAAATATGATGGGTCATGTTAATTTTTTCAGATGTTGGTTCTGATTAATTTCCTTATTTTTGAGCGATCTGACTGGAGTGCGTTGCATTGGGAGTAATTAAAAGACAAGGATGGGTTGCTTTGTTTCTTTGAACTATTAAGCTGGGGAAGGGGAAAAGAATCATAAGCTTTTAAGCCCAGCCAGACGTGGCTCAGCGGTTGAGCATCAACCTAGGATCCCGGAGATCCAGGTTCGATTCCTAGTCAGGGCACATACCCGCGAGTTGCGGGCTCCAGTCCCATTGAGGGGAGTGTGCAAGAGGCAGCCGATCAATGACTCTCTCATCATTGATGTTTCTATCTCTCTCTTCCTCTCCCTTTCTCTCTGAAATCAATAAGGATATTTTTTAAAAAAATCATAAACTTTTGAGCACTGATTTTAGTGATTATACTCCTTTCAGTTATCAAGGCAGAGAAATACAGATTCCCAGTCACCCACACCAAAAGACTGCAACACGTGTTTTGTTTCTTTTTTGCAGTTGGTCAAAATTGTGTCTCCTAACTGTTTTGTGTCTGGGACTAAAACTGAGCTCACTTAGCAAAATGTCTGTTTTGATAAATCGGGAACAAAAAGACCAAAACTAATGACTTCCACAGAGGAAGGTGCCCTGGGAAATAAAATATAGACTAGTGGAATCAGGGGCTGGTTTACTGTGATTCTGTGTACCCATCTGATGGGGAGTATAAATAGTTCTCTTTACACAAAGGGACCCAGGGAACAGTGAATCAGGGAATAATTGACTTGTCTTGGTATGTTTGTGAATGTGCATTTTTATCTGATGGCAAATATGCTGTTGGCCTTTGAGTCAGTCACCCACCATAAAATTCCCTCAGCCTCACAGGCACCAAGATAATGTGCCCACCCCCCAACCCCCCAAAGAAAACATTTCAAATTAGCATTAATCAGCCAATGTCATATTTGGGGGCCCTACAGTGAAAGCCACCTACTGCAGCTGAATGCCATTCAGCAGGCAAGAAGTGATTTGCAATATAATTTAAATGAAGAGTTGGCTTCGTTTCCCATTTAGAACACACCAGTATGGAAAACTGATTGTCAGACATTCTGGTGATGTGCATCAACTTGGCTATTCACTCAGAAAATGAAGTTTCCGGAGACACCGGCACATTTAATTTATTTCCTTTTTCCCTGTGAAGTTAACTTCGGCTTGTTAAATACAATGACTACCCAAGCCACAGAAAAACCAACACCATTAATTTTAATGCTCATAACGCAATGGAAGGAGATTATATTCATCTGGGATTTTCCCCCCTATTAATAGAATGTTTACTTGCCCCTCTCCTTATGAGTTAATTATTATTTTCCTTCCACAATGCTCTGCTTATATCTGAGCAGTCAGTGTGCCTGTTAGTGTCTTGCGTTTATGGACTGCTGGTGATTCTACCGTTTTGCAGTGTTGATCGGTAGCTCGGCAGCCTGGGGAGTGCATGTGTGGCCGACAGCAAGGCCATGGGTCCCTGACTGAACCCTCTCCTCTATTTTTATAAAACATTTAGTTTTAGTAGAGTTTCTTTTCTAAGCTTTGATTGAGAGGTTGAATGACTCATTTTCAGTGCATTCTACAGTATTGAGCTAAGAATAGGTAACTTTCCCTCTCTTATCATTTGAGGCATTTATTTATTTGTTTGTTTGTTTATTTATTTATTTAAAGAATAGCTTATTGATTTTGAGAGAGAGAGAGGAAGGGAGAAGGAGAGAGAGAGAAACATTGATGTGAGAGCACAATATTGATCTGCTGCCTCCCACACACCCATACCAGGGATCGAGCCCGAAACCCAGGCACGTGCCCTAACCAGGAATCAAACCTACAGTCTCCTGGTGCACAGGATGACACCCAACCAACTGAGCCACACCAGCCAGGGCTGACTATTTATTTTTAATACATCTGTTTATTTATTTAACTGACATATAGTGAGCACCCCGTTTGTGCTAGTAGTGTACTAAAGTATTAGGGATTTAAAAATAATTAAGACATCATCGCCACCCTCAGGGAGCTCATAGTTCCGAGCAGGAATTGTAACAAGGAATTGCAGCATAGTGAGATGAGTGGTACAAGAGAGCTGGGCACAAAGTAATAGAGGGGGTGAAAGAGGGCACTGTCCCTGGAGAGGGGGCAGGAGATGCTGGAGCTAGATCCTGGAGACCCAGGCCTTAAGTTCTTTGAGTGGGCAGTGAAATGATGGGTGAATGTGGGGAAATGTGGTAGAGGCAGAGGGACAGGAATGCAAAGTTGTGAAGCAAGCCTTTTGTTGGAAAACCTATATAGCTATTTAAATAATCATATAAGCTGGCACTTAAGTGCTCACCATTTGCCACACCGTGTTTCAAATCATTATATGCACAAACTCAGTTAAGCCTTATAATGACTCTTCAAAGTAGGTATTATCAACATCCCCTTCTCCAAATTAAAATTGATACCTGGAGATATTAGGTAACCTGCCAAATATCCCACAGCAGTAGGATCAGGACCAAGAGTGGAACCCAGGTTCTTTAACTTCAAAGCCTACATGTTTAAATATTATGCTCAAAGCCTCTTTGCCCTTTTGAGCCTTCAGTCCAGCTGTGCAGGAAAGACCTGCAAGTATGACTGACATTCATTACTGTGTCTAAGTAGGGATAATAACAGACCGATCACAAGTGGAGAAGATTAACTGAGACAGAAAATATATAAAGTGCTTAGAACTGTGCCTGGTACATGCCTAAGCACTTGTTAACTACTGGTATTATGATGATTAATGTCTTAAAAGTAGTAGCCTCCGATAATCCTTAGGAATTCAATAGTACTTAGGAACTCAAACCACTTAGGGGCAGGTTCTGCAAAAGGCATTGGTCAAGAAGCAGTTTGTGTAGTTGGTGGCATCTGATGCAGACCTAGCTGGCTTAACGGTAGAATTCTTTTTTATTTATTTTTTTAAAGTTGATTTTACAGAGAGGAAGGGAGAAAGAGAGAGACAGAGGGAGAAACATCGATCTGTTGCCTCCCACATGGGCCCCTCCTAGGGATCGAACCCACCACCTTCCAGTGTACATGACGATGCTCTAACCAAATGAGCACACAGGCCAGGGCAATGGTAGAATTCTTACAGAGAGGACTCGGGGGAGTATTTCAGCAAGAGATGCTGGGATGCAGAAATGCGAGCGGACTGACAAATTTCATCATGTTTAAGAAAAGTAAATACACTAATTTGATGAAAGCAGAGGGTCTCTAAACACAAACAGGGAAAAAGGTCAAATAGGTAGGTAGACATTGTTTATAACTAATGATATTTATTACTTAGTTTTTATAAAATCTTTCTGGGTTTATAGGCTCATTTTTTTCCCCATTTGAAAAGTTATATAACTTGCTTAAGGTCATCCAGCTAGAGTGAGAGAACTTGGATTTGAACCAGTCTTTGTTACTTAAAGTGCCATGCTCTCTTGACTGCACCACATGTTCATTTTCACAGCTCTAACCATTCTAATTCATCATGAACATTTATAGAATGATTTTTACAGTGAAAGAGGTAAGAAAAAAATATGAAAAATGTGTCAATGTGTTCTCAGAGTTGTGCTTATCAATCACTATAGCCCAACATTTTCCCAGTTAATAGCCTGTGTCTACTTTCATTAAAATGAAAAGAACTGGTCTCTCTGATTTCCTGTACATACGTCCCCACCTCAGGTTTCCCATTTGTGTGCACCTGTTATAACACATACCATAGATAACATCCCACCTCCTGGAATAATTGCTAATGGTTAAGAGTTTGGGCTTTGAAGAATTGCCAGGTGCCAGGGTGAGAATCCCAGGTCTTTCCTTCATAGCTGTGGCCATGAACAAGATTCTTAAATTCTCTATTTCCTTATTTGTTTAAAGATGATAATAATGGTCCCTACGTCAGTGGGTTGTTGCTAGGAATAAATGGATTAATATACAGAGAGACTAAAAACTGTACTTAAAATGCTGTGATCATTCTTTAAGTATTAGCATTATGACTGTCACTGTTATGCCTTACGTCTCATGTCTCTTTAAACAGAGAACTGTGACTGGCTCTGTTGGTGAGGGTGTGGGAAAGGTATCTTTTCATATATTGCTGAAGAGAGTGTAAAATTGTACAGACGTTGTGGGTGGTAATTTGACAGTATCTATCAAAATTTCGAAGATGTTTCTTTAACCCCATGATTCTACTTCTAGGCATTTATCCTATAGATAGATTCACTCAAGCGAAAAATGTATAATTTGTACCTTTTGAAATTTAGCCTGTATAACCCAGTCCAAATTCTTAGACTAAAGACTGATGGATGTTTTTTGCTTAGGTTCTACCCTCCACATTGCCTAGCACGATACTAGGCGCAGAGGCGCGGGCAGATCCCCTCTGTTTAGCCCGGCACGGTTCTCACGATCTCTGTGCCCAGGCTCACCTCATGCGTCACATACACTCCAGAAGGATNCATTGCCTAGCACGATACTAGGCGCAGAGGCGCGGGCAGATCCCCTCTGTTTAGCCCAACACGGTTCTCACGATCTCTGTGCCCAGGCTCACCTCATGCGTCACATACGCTCCAGAAGGACGCTGCGCCCCGAGCCACTCACTCCGAGCTCCACTGCGACAGCTCCGTGCTTCCTCCTCCTTCCTCCTCCGTTGGTTTGCTTTCAAAACTGACATACACTTCTTTCATTGCAGCTATGTCCTTGGCTTCTCTCGATGACGATTCCTGACTCGCGGCCCTGGCAGNAAAACTGACATACACTTCTTTCATTGCAGCTATGTCCTTGGCTTCTCTCGATGACGATTCCTGACTCGATTCTTGGGAAAACATCCAATTTCTTCAGTCCAGACCTCGGGGCCCGCCTTTCCCCAGTGTCGCCCCCACCCAGCCTGGACGTATTGGCCAAGCCGTTCTCTAGGACGCGTGTGAGTCAGATGCTTCGTTCTTTTATGAAAATATTTCCAATCGCCCCTTCTCCTCCCTCTGCACCCTCCACTTTTGAGCATGATTTTGTATCTCTCGAAAGCTGTTGTAATTCTCTCACTTTCTGGAACTAACTGCCTGCCCTGTACTAGTTAATTCTCTCAAGTCCATTATTTGTTTAATCACTGACTTATTCAAGGTAGTGCTGGCCAGTAGAACCTGAGAACTGAAAGGCACAAGCCTTTGTCGTCCTGTGTGACTCCATTCAGGGTTGCTTGTCTCTGACTTAGATTGGAGACTAAATGGATTAGAATAAAACCAATTTAAGGGAAAAAAAGGAATGTTCACAGACACAGAAATAGAGATTCCTGCTATCTTGGCTGCCTAAGATCTGCAGGCCTCACCAAGGAATTTAAAAAGTAATGTTTCTTATCATAAGTGACAGAAATATGCTGCTTTCTGCATCAATAGATATGAAGATTAAAGGGTCCATCCGTATTAAACAATTTTGCACAGCACCAGGCACTCTGGGCTCTGCTCTCTGCCTTATTACCCTTCATCTTGTGGCTATTTCAGGCCCAATTTAAGAATACAATGCAGTCTGGCTTTGCAAATTGACATCCTTTAATTTAAAGTGTCTTGTGGGAGAATTAAGAAATTATGGACAATTATTCCCCCTCAGTTGAAAGCTGGATGGCATCCTGAGATCCTTGTACATTAGCCATTTGAACTGATTAAGTCACATAATTGAATTACACCTTTGCCCCCCATAATATCGTGTGGCAAATATGTCGGTGTTTTGTGCTGGGAAATGCCTCCATAAAAATGAAGTAGGAGCTGGCGTTGGAGATTGACCCGGGTGTCAAAGGAAACATCAGAGCCGAATGGGCTGATGCTTGAAGGTTTTGTGGGGGAGGCTGATTAGCAGAGCAGGCGTTCCATTTAGGATTTACATGGAAATTCACAGATCCAGACTGCGAACATGACACGGGGAGGCAGGCATCCTTCCCTAGGTTCCCTTCCCATCATCTTTCAGTGTGCAGCTCAAGTGCCTGCTGCTCATTCTCAAAGCTTATTTTTTTTCTCTTTTTAACATTGCCCATGAACAGAAATGGTTGGTTTGGTGTACCTCCCTTTATCCTGCATGGCTTCCCATATACACGTCAATCCTGGCGCCTCCCACATGACGACAAAGCTCCTTTCCCAGGCTTGGTGGCTGGGCTAGGGACCATGTCCACGTCACCCAGGATGGTCGTAGTGCTCAACAACTGTTTGTCAGATGCGGATTTACTTGGAAATCTCAATCGTTTCATTTCTAAGCTCAGTTTTCTTTTGTGGAATGGGAATCAGAAGGAGGCGGAATGTGTTAGTAATTTTTAAAGCTCGATTCTTAAGTTGGAGTTTTGCCCCACTGATAGCCTTAGACCATTTCGTCAAGGATTTAGTAAACACCAACTCTATTGAACAGATGTTTGCTAGGCACCTGCTAAATACAAAAGCTACGGCAGGTGCTGAGGGACAAAAAATAGCCAAGACCTATTTCCTGTTTAGGACCTGAAACTCCAGTTGGGGATTGGAGAGGCCTGCGCGGGAAATAGCCCTGGCGACTGAGAGAGCAGGCAGGGGGCTGATGAATAGTCCTGGACCATGACAAGGGCAAAGGTACCTTCCACTGCATCCCTCTCTGGTTTGTACTGCTGTTGGGCTGCCCCCTCCTACGTCACCCATTTGGGAACCCAGCTGAGAAGAAAACAGACTAATGTGGTCTGGCCAGAGGTGTGCCTTTCATTTGAAAACCCCTCCAGAGGAGAGAGGTTTTACAGCACTGATCTCCCCCTCTCACCCCACCCCAGCTCCCAGCTCTCCAGCACACTGCGGAGCCTTCCGGGTCTTCGGATTCTCTGTCTATCCTGCGTGGCATGAGAATCTCTCCCCCTCTTTGAAAGCTCTTTACCTTTTCTTTACCTCTATCAAACAGCACTCCTGGAGCTTTAAAACCCAACTATAGCTATCTTCCTAAATGTTTCTGTGTGGAAAAGATTAATCAAGCCTGTCGAACATTGAGCTGGAAAACCTTTAATATTTCTGAAAGATGTAAAGCTGGCATATTTATCACATGCATCATTGAGAATAATCTTTTTTTTAAATAAAAAAAATAAATGCTTGCTGTAAAATATCGCGGTGATGAGCACAGTGGGTAAAAGGCTCGTGCAGGGGTCCCATTGTGATACTGGGATAGAGATTCCTGCAAAATCTTTCCCCGCCATCACTCCCCTAGGAGCCACCCATCATCTATCACACGCCTATTTATTTGTATGAATGTTTCATATTGTGGAATTCTAGATTCTTGGTGTGAAGAGGAAAGGGAAGTAGGAGAAAGAGACTAATTTTTGTTGAGCGCCTTCTATGTATTGCATCTGCGCTTTACGTGGGCGGCTACGTTCTAATTTCCACAACAATCTTTCATAGGAGGCACTATTACCACTGATTTATTGACAAGGAAACAAAGATTTGAAAAGTGAAGCAATTTTCTCAAGATCACATAAATATTCATTTGCAAATCCAGGACTTGACCATAAGCCTGTAATTCTTTCACTCTGTACGTGGTGAGTGCCTAGCTAATGCTTAACAAATGTCGGTGCCCATGAAAGGGTGGCCCAAGTTGTCAGGAATGTTAGTGTTAAGTTTCCTGGGGATTCTTAATAAAGGTCTTTATTCTACAGGTAGGGAGGCTGTGGAGATGGGTGGGCACGAGCCTCAGAATCTGAGCTGTATGTTTTGAGATGTGTAACCCAGCAGTGGTGATGGTATTACCTGAGTCCAAAGAGACTCACTCACTCAGGCTTTTTTATAAAGATAGCTAATGCGAACCCTGAATTTCATTATTTATAAAGTATTTCACAGGCACGGCCCAGTTTAATTTACTCTGCAGCCTTGTGAAGTAATATCATCGCTACTGCCATTTTACAGACGGGAAAACTGAGGCCCAGAGACATGTCGGATAAGTCCTGCCCAGATCACTCAGGCAGAAGCAACTGAGTTGACTGTGTAAAGCCACAATCTTCCCACTATACTGTAGTATTTTTAATTATTCCCAAGTACTAAAAAAAATAAAATTTTGAAGCTTGAAAAGACCTTAGAGACCCATCAGTCTTGTTTCCCAGATTTGACACCTGCGGCCCAGACACTACAAGTAGTGTCTCAAAGGCCCATGCTACGTCCAGTGGCAACAGAGAGGAAAGGTGGCTTCATTTGGATGGGGACAAGCGGTTAGATGCTAGGGGCTACATATCACACTTAAAACCAGGGAAGGCTGCATGGAGGTGGTGACTCTTAGTAATATCCTAGAAGGAGGAGAAGGATTTTAACAGAGGGAGGAGATTCAACAAGTGATACTAAAATGGAAGAAAGGAATGATTGTGCGGCAAAATGACAACATGGTGGTCCCATGGGCGGGGGCCCTTCAAGGAAGCTAGAGTTTGTTGTGTCATTATAATTAGTTGTGTAATTGCATTCCCAGACTGCCACCGTAAGTGCTGCACACACGGGTAATTAAAGCTCCTGCCAGCCAGGCGGTATCTTCTGCCCGCCTCCACTTCTGCTCCAGCTTTGCCTCAGAGGGAGCAACCAAAGGAAAGGGCCTATGGTTGGGAAGATTGACAATCGTGATCTCACGTTCTCTATAAGTATACCACTCTGTGTTTACCAAATGTATTGGGGGGAAAAGATACAATACTTAGAAGGAGGAACAGCTTTGTGCTCCGGGTTGCTGTGAAGGCAACAGGACCATTTCTGGAACTCTTTTGTGTAGGCGAGATGCTTCCCCAGTTTACACTTAGCAAACTGTAATTAGCGTCAGCAGGAGAAGAGAAATGACTGTGTTAGGGAACACCATTCTCCTTTGCACAACAGCCTCTGTTCTGAAGGACGGTCCCCAGCACTGGGCTTTTCTTGTGGGGAGGCCGTGTACAGATGCTTGTTCTGGGGTGAAGAACATACGTGCAGTAGGGGGCAGAGGCCAGCTGATGATCCACTTCAGATGCAGAGTAAACCTTGCTTAGGTATCGGCCAGTTGGAGTCACAAGGCTCCTGTGTGGTTTCATTCATTCCATAAGCATACATGAGCCCACACCCAGGTAAGCCCTACTGTCTGCTGAGCACTGGGTTAGATGCCAGGGGCTCTGTGAAAAGCCGTGCTGGTCAAAGAAGGATTTATGGCTTATACACAAAGAACCAGCTGAGGCTCTTTGATTTGGGGACCATGCGCAAATCAGATACTCCCTGTATTATTTAGGACAAGTTATGGTAGTTGCCTTAATCAACAACCCCTCCCAACCTAAGATTTAACACAATAAAAGTGTATTGTTGTTCTTCATGCAGTCAGATTTTTCCTGTCTTATGTATTTCACTGTCATCTTTAACATGTGGCTTCTGAGGTCTCTGAAGGAGAGAAAAGGGAAGATGATGCCTGCAAGATTTTTAGGGGCCTTTTCTGGAAGTGGTATACATTCCTTCTATCCATGTTCTGCTGGCCAAAATTCAGTCATCTGCCCCAACTTAATTGTAAGGGGACTGGGAGATACAGTTTAACCATGGGCCCAGTCTAGATAAACACACCCATGTCTTGATATGATCCCTTCAACTCAGTTTCTAGTCAAACAAGTGCAAGATGATCTAAAAGACTGCCCTTCACGACCACTTTGAGGAGACCCTCCAGGAAAAATGATTTTTCAGTGTAGAATTGAATGCTACTGGTAAGAATTTAATTCATATAAGTTATCTGGGAGAGCCTGAAATGACTTCATCACTTTTGACTTCAGAATGCCTTTTCCAGCATTCCATCCTAAAAATAGAAATTACAAAGCTTTGTGAACAAACAAGTTTATTTCCACATTACTTACAATTTTGAAAAAGGCAAACAACCCAAATTTCCTAAAATATGAGGAAAATGTTTTTCTGAGTTTTTCCACATTCAAATAATGTAGTCATTAAATAAAATGTT